GTTTCTCACTTCTTCCTTGATTGCTTCCAAAACTGGTGCAGAGAGGAGATTTTTCTGAACAATTGCTATTGTTATTATTATTATTTATTATTGCTTATTATTATTATTATTATTATTATTATTATTATTATTATTATTATTTAATGATGACAAAATGTATCCGACCATCCATCTGTGAACAACGCTAGCGGCTAAACCGTTTAGCCGATGTTCTCCAAGATATTCCCCAATCGATGTGGATGATGTCATAGCCCCTTGAAATTCAAACTGATATTTTAATTTGCGGGGAGGGGGGGGTTACTTCACATGAAGCCCCTGGGACATTTTTCTAATGGCTCCATCGTATTTTATTAAATTTCATTGTTGGATAGTGTTAAGGGTGTTTAAGAGAATGGTGCAGGTCTCATTTTCATTGAAAACCTTGGTTTTTCCAAAATTGAAAAATGTTGAAAAAAATTTTCGGACTCTTCCAAGATCTAAAATATTGAAGATAAAGAGATTTTTTCCTTTCTGACAACTTGTCCTTAAAGATGGATTTTAAAATAATGTCATGTTCAAGTTTTCGAAAATGTGAGTACTTTTCGCGTAATTTTGCGTGAAAAAATCCGCGAGAAAGTACGTGCTGTTTTAGCACCAGCATGTATGTACTGTTTTAGTTTAGAATGCATACGAATCGTAATTCTGTTCAGTATTTAAAAACTGTGAAATTTAAAAACTTAACTCTTCCAGAAAAGTGTGATATAAAAGATCAGGGTAGACTTACACCGGTATTCAACATGGCTCAATCCTTTTTCTATTTTTGCATGCAGCCCCCCTTCCCATTAATTAAAGGCACCAGCCGCCACCAAGTGTAAATACTCATATGTCATTTGGTTTAGAGCAGAGCTGTCCAACTGGCAGCCCGTGGTGCCATTTATTGTGGCGCGCTAGAGGTTATTAGACAAACTTGAACGTTTCAGAGCAGCCTGGCAAACTGCTGAAATCAACAATGTAGGGTCACGTGTGGATCGCTCATGTACTGAAAATACAGCCCACAATCATATTAAAGGTTTGTTGTGGCCTTTCAGGCCTTGCAAATTGGACACCCCTAGTTTAGGGGTACTTTTTGCCATCTTATCTGGGGGTACCCTTTATTGAGTAAACTTTTCTAGATTATTCCTTAAAAAGAATAACTCTTTGAACCCAATATGTATCAAATTCATTCTTTATTGGCAGTCATATCATTACTTCTCAGTCAACTCCCCCTATTCTGCCATGTTCAAAGATTTAGACTACACATTAGATTTTGCAAAACCATTCTGTAATGTAATCTCCAAAGCCTCCACAGACATTGAAAAACAAGAAACATCCTCATTCTTAAAAGGATAAAGCCTCAACTCTTAAAAACATTATAGTACCTTTCATATTAAGTCAAGCTCTTTCTTTTGTTATGTATTATGCCATATTCCATAAGCATTGGAGAAAAATTCTGTTAAGTCCAAATTCACCTTGTCATAGAGGCTGGCACCTCGCGTGGGACAGATTTCCTCCTCACTTTCACTACCAGCTGCTAGTTGTGGAGCATGCTTCTCCCATAGAACCAAATCTTGCAATACCAAGTCCAAGAGGTGGGAAAAAGCAATACCACTCAATATGCACACAACAGGAGTAAGTGTTAACATCAATCGTACCATGACCCCAGCAAAGTATACAGCACTCAAGGCATAGAGAACAACTGAAAGTGAAAAAAGATGATTTTCTCAATTTATACACATTTAACAAATTTAATAAAAGCATGCAGTAAGATGTTAACTGTAAAGACCCTTCCAACAAAATATAACAATAATGGAAGCTATAAAAGGGAAAGCTTGAAAGTAATAATAAACAATTATTAGGCTAATCAAGTGTTATTTAACAAAGAAAAAATGCAATGTACACATGTGATGTAATGCAACTTTTCTCCATGGCAGAACAAACATCTGTAATTACAATTTTAAAATTCATAATAAAATATTCACTCACAATATTACATGCAATGAACTGAACCAAAATGAACAAATGTACAGTAAATTTCACAGCACACAAATCACAGACTCTGAAAAAATATTAATATCCAATCACCTTTTGTTCTGTTACATGGAGACCATTCCCAACTGAGAAACAGCACATGCACAGCCAACATAGAATTCCACAATAGTGTGCCCTCATAAAAGCTCAACACTGATACCAAAGAAATATTTATATAATCTATCATAGACTAGTTGAACAAGTGTGAGTAGTCCACACTTTGTAATTTGTTTTAAATGTGAAAATTATTTAATAGTTGAGAACCCAACTTTGAAGAGTTAGCCCCAGAACTGTGTGTAATAGCATTATACTTGTAGACTCAGTAACCATTCTAATACTGCTAAGTGTTCGAGATTAAATTGCATAGAGAATCAAACAGCCCCTTTAAATTTATCCTGAAATATTACTATTTTTGTCCAAATCTGTAAAATTAAATTGAAGGAATCCCTTCAATTTAATTTTACAAAAATTTTGTTTTGTTTTTTCACTTTACTGACCACTCATGCTAGCACCCAAAAGATTTTTTTTGTTTTTGTTTTTTTTAAGTAATAAATTTATTCCAACTGCAATTGGCTATAACCTGGTGGCAGCTAATTACATAAATAAGGTAATATAGCCAACATGCAAATTATATAATAATAATATTAATAAAAACAATAATATAAAAACTGTCCAAACTGTCCAAAACATTAAATTATCTTAAGAAAAAGAAACTTCTATGATCTAACTCTGCACTGAATGTTTGTGTTCAATTAAGATCTCACCTCACCTCACTATGACCCTTAAATCACTTCCTTGCACTTCCCACACTGCACGACACCTCACTTTACAATATATCACTTATGTATCACTTTATAACCTACTTTTCTTAGTGAAGTCCCTCATTTACTTAGTAGTACCCTAAAAACTATTGAGGGGAACACTTTGAGGAAAGGCTTCTAAGGTTTTTGCACGCAATCTATTCCATTCAGTTTTAATTCGATTTGTGAAAGACAATTTTCCCGACATCCGTCCTCTGAAGTCTTTAATTTATTTTGTGATCCCTCCTACTGATGTATGTAGGAATACTTAGCCGCCGATAATTTCTATCCAACCTGGATAACCGCTGTAAGCAAAGCGCAGTCTTCCTACTGATCGCCTGTTTTCGAGTGCCCCCCCTCCCCGCGCCATTTTCTTGTCCCTGAAAATAAATTCACCTACCCTACGCCGAATCCTTTCCAAATTTTCACACTGCATAATATTCTGCGGGACCCAAAAAAATTGCTCCATATTCCATTATCGGAAGAACACGCAATAAATTCCATTCCATTATTTTCCGCTCAGTAATGTAACGCAAGATCCCGTTGCAACATTTCTTCGTCTCCTCTTGAATTCTTACTACGATATATTATGCAGTCGTCTGCAAATGGCCGAACATTTGATATTAAGTGCGCTGGCAGATCATTGACGAACGCTAGAAATAGAAGAGGTCCAATCACACTCCTCTGCTGTGTTTCTGACGTAACGCTTGCCCCGGAAGAAAAATCATGGCCAATTCGGACTTTCTGTTTTCTGTCTCGCAGAAACTCGCTAATTCACGCCACCACCTTGAAATCTATGCCTGAATTCATTAATTTCTGTACGAGCCGATCGTGGGAAACGACATCAAACGCTTTGGCAAAATCTAAAACTCTTGTGTCAACTCTCCCGCCCGCGTCAATTTCATCTGCTAGATCCTGAAATAGTGTGGCTACCTGCCTTTCACATGAATAACCACTCCTGAAGCCGTCTTGGCCATCATAGAGCCATTTTTTGATTTCCCATTCTTGCTTAATGGAACTGGCAACTAGATACTCCAAAAGTTTGCAGACCACTGACGACAGACTCGCCGGCCTATAATTACTTAATATACGAGTAGGTTTGTCACCTCTTTTAAAAATTGGTACAACAAAAGCTTATTTCCAATCTTCAGGTACGTTTGACTTGTTCATGGATACGTGAAATATTCTAATTAAGTACCGTAATGTTGCCCGTCCTATCTTAATTATATCTGTCCAAATGTCGTCAAAACTCCTTGCCTAGCCATTTTTCATAATTTTATTTTATTCCGTAGAACTTCAATATTAAACTGATTTGTAACCGAAGACTGTTGAATTAGTGGATGGTGCGTATTGATTTTGAAAACCGAAATAAAATACTTATTAAACGCATTGCCGATCGTCAGTAATGAGCGTGATTCTATTTTCAGAAACAACTGGGATATCCCACTGTTCCTTTCCTTCTACGAACATTTATAAAATCATGTCCAGTTATTTCCCTTCCCATTAATAATATTCTTTAAATAAGCCTCCTGAGCAATTTTATTTTCTCGCTCCAATACTTTTGAACGATTTTGAAAAATAATCATAAGCACGCTTCTGCGTTTTCTGATCTTAAACGCCTTTCTCGTTATCCTCTTCATTCGCCTAATTTTTGCATGATAGAATTCTAGATCGGGATTTTTTTTTTGCTCGGAACAAACTTTTTCAAAGCTTTGAATGTATTTTTGAATGCTTCATATTTCTTACATACTCTGTTCTCAGAGAGCGGTAAAAATCTTGAAGTCCGTCTACATTTGCTTTCCTGTATTGGCGTACATTTGTTCCTATCGTAAAGCCTATCCTTGAAATATTTTCGTCCAAGTCAAGAATAACAGCTTTGTGATCGCTAATGTCCTCAACAACTTCACAAGATACGAAAAGTTCTTTCGGCCTAATTAAGTAGACATCCAAAATCACATCCTGCCGCGTCCCGCTCCGAACTACCTGTGTTAATCCGCTGCCCAAACTAGACTGTTCACAAGTGTTGGGACTTTCCCCGCGCTCGCGGCTCCCAATTTGCGCTAGAAATGTTTAAGTCACCTGAAATAACAATAGGACGGTAATTTTCGTTTCCTTTTTTCTAAATGATGTCATCTAAAATGTCGAATTCCTCGCTGGGAAGCCTATAGCATGCAATAATTTCTAATATGGTTCCTGAATAGTTATTTCTATTCCCATCATTTCCAATTCTGTTCTGACCCAATCTAATGAATATCCACGTCTGCTTTGACGCAAATAAGGCGCCCCCTTAACCATTTCTATCCCTCCTAAATATCTTGTAATGAAACATTTCAGAAGATCCGATTTTCTCAGTCGCACAACTCAGTCCCTCTCACTGTCGGGATCGCAGGCATCGACTAGATTCCAATACTATTTCTTTATTGATTATACTACGACAGTTCACCTGCAACAACCTAAGAAACCCTTTCCTCGCCTGAACGTATTCTCGAGAAGGGGCATCACCTCTGCTGTCGTCTCCGCCGCCGCTGAACTGCAGTCGCTGTGTAATTGCATAATAGGAAGTACAAAAAGATTTCTCTTTGTAGAATACTGCTTAAGAAACAATTCATGGCTCATCTCTCTCCTGATGTATCCTGTAATTTCCCTACCTGTCCCTCAAAACTCATGTCCCAAAAAACTCCCAGTCCTCACAAAACTTATGTGAACCTTGGGACACAAAAACTTGGTTATAAGGACCTAGATCACATTGTTTCCGGGCTAAGAGCAATTATATGTTTTGAAATAATCTATTTTTTATGTCAAAAACTGCAAACATCGATTTTTTTTTTTCATCTTAAATCTGTTTGATGCCCCTCTGAGGCTAATCCCCTATTTACGGGTTTTTGTGTCCATGGTTTCTTATAAAAGGGAAAAGTCCGTCATCTTTCCTTAACATGTTATATACAAAGGTGACATTCCATTATTGAATTCTCCCCAATCTCTCCATGAACTTCACTTCAGACTCCGAGATATTAGTAATAACAAATCATACTTCCTCACATTTAGCATTGAGAATGATGCTCTCAAAACTTTTAATTGGAATTTAGTGATCTTCAGAGAGGTGAGATTTTGGAATGCGTTCAATAGCCAAAATGATTCTGCAAGTTTGGATAGATAACAATTAATAATTACTTTATCTCTGTTTGAATTACGTTTCATTTTTAAAATATTAAAATGTTTAAATATTGTTTAACATTCCGACTAGTCTTGCATAATTTTAAAATAGGACTGTATCTGAAGAGTTAATGAATCCACAGACAGACTAGCTGTGATTTCTTATGAAGACCGGCAGTTTCTCCATTTGTTAATTGTAAGCATTGACCTAGTAATACGTGACAACAATAAACGAGAAAAAAATCTTCATTGATTTTTCACGTTTTCACGAAACGCACGTGTAACGTTATTTACCTTTCACCACGGACGTTTCGTTTGATGATTATCAAAATATTCCTTAAATTTTTGTCCTGTCCTTAATATTTACGTTACCAGCGATTTCTTCACAATATTGCATTTACAAGTATATGTGCTTTAAATGATGTCCTACAAAGTTTCTCGAAAAGTCTAACGTTTTCTGTGAAAAGGACCTCAAAATTTCGCATTTTCAGAAACCATCATACGTCATTTTCTGAGAAACAACTCCAAATTTTAACTTCAAACTTTTCGTAAGGACTGTGCTAATTGCACTGTTTAAGATTATGTAAAATTCATTTTTCTGTATTACGTTTTTAAAAACACAAATGTATTTTTATTAACTATCTCTAACACCTTTTATATGTACTTTCCAGCGATTTGTATAGATTATTGTATTTGTGAGAGGAAGTGCTACAAATGAAGATTTTCGAAAATTCAACACATTTTTATGAAAAAGAGCTTCAAATTTCGCATTTACAGTAACGCATAAACGCCATTTTCTTGAAATCGGCTCCAATGTTTTCAACGGAAATATCCTTATAGGACGAGGATTTAGTTCTATAATATTCTTAAAATAATATTTCAGTTCTACCATTACGAAACCCAAAAATTTAGAATATTTTTTATGTACTTTGGGCGGCGATAGATGTCAGTTGGCAAGAGGATAGGGCAAAACTGAAAATCAAGACAAGACCAAAGAAATTAGAAAATTCATTAGTACGAGAAAGTCTGTCTCATTCTTTGGCAATAGTTTTATCCTTTTGCTGTTGAAGTGGCGGTGTGACGTGTACGTTTCCTTGAGCCCTGGAATACGTACCCTCACTTATTTACTAACATTACTTGAGTTTTGATACGTGATAGCAACGAAATTTGTTATCAAAATTTGATAACCAGAAATGTTCGCTCCCGTACAATGAAATTTTTTTATCGAAAAACGAGCTACAGATTTGACACGGCATTAGAGTCCTGTCGTCAAAATAACTAACTCCCACTGCTCTCGCAACTAGTGATGTGACTGAAAACTCGCGCGGATATTGTTAAAGGCTTCAAACATTGTTTCCAATTATTTATTTTCATAGAGTACTAAATTAAAATTAGGTTTAGATAAGTAAGAAAAGTAAATGAACTATGTTAATATAGAAAGAAATCTACGTAACGGCTGGACGTATCCAGTGCACGAGTGGGCCTACTAGTGCTACGAATGGCCGCGAAAGAGACGAAATGTTAACAAGGAAGATAATTTTGATGCTTAACTAACGGTTCTAAAATTATTATTACTCTCTCGAATTACATATTCTTAAGAAGAGAAAGTTATGTAATCGTGCACCAGAAAACTTCAAAATCTCGCCAGAAGAAACTTTATCACTGGATTTTGGTAACGAAAGAGTGGATAAATCCTGTTGCTAAATGTAGAAAAAAATCTTCTAACGAGGGGGAACCTGTGTCCATGTTTTGTTGGTTCTTGATACTCAAACATCGATTGATGGCCAAACGTCAGTCTGTCGATTTGTGTTCTAAACCGTTCTGCTGATTTTCTTCAAAACTGATATTCCCTGATTTATCTTAACGGACTAGAGGCTTAGGGAATTTCTAAAGGATATTTTGATTGTTGAAGATTTTTTAACATGAATCGGGCGTTTGTTTTTCAATGCCTTTGCCCGAGTTCGACCCATGCGGCACTTCTGTGGCGTAGTGCTACGAGTACGTTAACTCTGAGAATCTGAGTTCGATCCTCGGAGCGAAAAAATAATTTGCTGCTTGAAAACTTTGGCTGGTTTATGTAGTAGTATAATGTTGCGGAGCTTTTAGAAACAATGCGAGAAAGTATAAGCCTTGGCAGGACCACTAGTTTATCATTTAATTCAATTTACTGAAAACAAGTGTAGTAAAACTCTGTTAATACGTTTTGCATTTATACGTTCTTGACGGTCACACATTTTGTAAGTCCTGAATAAATCCCTATACTTCCCATACTACTTTATATGCGTTTTTCGCGCTTATACGTTCATAATGAAGGTCCCTTTAAGACTGTACAAAGGCTTAATGATTACGACATAGATGGCCATTAAGTGAGAACGTTTGCGTTATCCTAGACGAGGTCACGGAACCTTTGTGTTGAATTCAGTATTCATGTTAATTTCGTCACTACATAGTGCATATTAACTGGTTTCAACACTCCAGTTTGGACAAAACTACGGTATGAAAAAGTAGGTGCGGCTTTGCATAATGTTCACTAAACATTGCACGATATAAATCCGACGCGTTTTAAGTAAATATTCAAACTCCGGGATATAAAAGATTAATAATGACGTTAAGGCCTGCGTCACAAAAGCGTTGCGTTGATCGCATCACCTAACACTGATGGCGTCAGCTGCGAGATTAACTATCTTATGCGAAAGGGCACACGAGCGCTCCTGGTGACGTGCGTTGCTGTCAACACGCGTCGCGCAATGAAAACTAGAAAACGCGCGTTATCTTGACTCCCGTTGTAGCTTGAAGTGTGTGCATAAGACTTCGATTTTTTTAAAAAAACCTTTATTGATCATTCAACTATTTATAGTTAAAATGTTTGGAATAGATTCTGAAGCTCAAGAAAACGTCCGCAGATGTAACTTCTCCCTCATATGTTACACACAGTTTTTACTGATCTTAGACTAAATAAATCAAAAGAAACGTTGGTAGCAGTTCCTGCGAGCAGGTCCATGAGTAGAGTACGCCAATATAAAAATATTGATTTTTTGTTTGACTCATAATATTCAATTTTATTTATGCGTTTTTCTGGGCACTGAAGGGAAAAAATGTATAAGTGAAATTTTACTGTACCACATATTGTTCGCATCACAAGCCAAAGGGGTATTATTCTCAGTTCAGTTAAACATCAAATGGAGAATCCATATAAATGAATTAAACACTCTTAAGTTCCTTATGTTAAGCATTCACAATTCTTTCACATTCAGTCAGCCTTCATGATGCGCATGGAGTGTTTTCTGCGAAAAAATCCAACTTATCATAAGCAAATGCCATCCACGTGATTCCTTCACTGAGCTTGGAATCCTACATTCTCTTCCCTATTTATTTTCGAAACTGTAGTTTCATCAAAACTGACTTATTCCAGGGTGAGAACATATTTTCATGTAATACAGAAATTTAGGCCAGTCGCAAAATGAGACGCAGGTCTGGTGTAACTTCAAATTAACTTCTCCCCATAGTATGTCACACACAGTTTTTAACCGCTTCTGGCGTTATTAAATAAATAATAGGTCCGTGATGGGATGCAGTGTGATGCACACCAAGTTCAAGGCAGTATCACAGCGACAATCACAGAACGATGGGCCGCAGTTCACTCCAAAATGAGCGTCGACAAAGATCCTTAACGCAAGGTTAATAGATTTGAGAGTTCTGAATCGGATTCCAAAAGAAAGTTCTGGATTAGAATTGTGATGTTACACAGTTCTTATGGAACAAAAACGAGAAAGATGCGATTACATGAAGAAAAGAGAAACACATGGAGAATTTGCTCTAAGGAATTTAATGATGATAAATTTTAGAAATTTTTTTTAATGAAACTGATGCCAACACGTGCATGTTCTGATCAAAAATTAAATTTGCAGAGAGGGCTATCCTTTGATTGATACTTTCATTGATTATTCATTTAAGTACAGTAAAAGAGGGCATGCAGATTCTGCGGCTCAACGAAACGTGCACAAATTTTACTACTTCTCCATATGCCACATCACATAAAATTGTTTTTTGTTGTTTTATTTTACCAAATAATCAATTGATTAAATCAAAAAGCCCAAATGGGTAAGATTTCTGTAATAAGTTCCAAATTCTCCTTTCCTAATACAAGAGTAAGTTTTTCAACAGGATGAAGGCTGTGGGATAAGTCAATGGTGTGAGAAATGTGTCACGTTTCGATCTTGTCATGCTTGGACTATGAAACATGAGTAAGTAGAGGGCTCAGATTTCTTTTACTTTCCATGTATCTGTTCATCCTTGTTGATGAGTAAGTGAATTTTGAGACGTCTGAGTTAAGAGTTAGAAGGTATGGGTCCAGAGGTCATAAGTGCATTACTTGCTTTGTCACAGCAAAAGTATTCCCAAAACATATACTTACAATCTTGTACGTGGATGTTCCAATTCGACATGTGAATATTAAAATAAACTCAAATTACAGAATATTAAAATATTTGAAACCACTAAATATAATGAAATATTTGAGAAATATATTGTAATCGTTAAACAATTTTAAAATGTGTAATTATGCCAAATATGTAAAATAAAAATTGCTTTAATAAATCCAGAACATCTTGTAAAAACCAAAACTGTTACTAAACTTCAGTATCTTGCACCAATAAAAATATGTGTATATATGGAATTCAGTTTCTTGGACATGATATACATGTGGTTAAAGCTGTCATGATTTTGTGAAGACAACACATTTGTCAATTAATCATTCCATTTAATTTTAATCTTGTATCAATATTACATTCTCCAAAATCTGAGAAGCCCAGAACTAGGAACTGTATAAAAATGTTTACATCAACATCAAACTAGTATTACTTACCAAATACTCTTTCATCAGTGATATGTTGAATACAATACCACAATCCTGCTGGAAATGTGGAAACTAGGACATGTAGATCAAAAAAGAAGGAAAACCATGTTGTTGGCTGATGCTCAGACACAGATGCTATTATAGGGATGTGAATTTTCGCATAACCAGTATCCCACAAAGAGTAGAATCTGTAAAATGTATGGTTGACATATGTAGATAGCAGTTTACTCAAAACACCAAGAAAGAGAAATCATTTTACATTTTTTTTTCTTGATTTCTAAAGGAACCGTGCGGTCACTGATTTCTACTGACTATTAAAAATTGAACAAAATCTAAAGGAAAAACACGCTAAAAGGGTTATGAGCCTTGTTAAATTTATTATGGTGTATCAAACAACAAACATAAACTTACCTACCGCTCCAAGGAGCAATGACACCTGCATATGTAAGAGCAGCAACTATCATAAACACAAAACCAGAAGCTATCAGGGCTGATGTAGTGAAGAAGTATTTAAATTCAACTCGGCTCATGCTACCTTTAAGGTATTTGAGTAACAACATAGCCATAAGCAGTACAAAAACACCTGTAACACAAAGAAAAAGAACTATTGTATTGGTATTGGTATCGCGGTGGGTGCGACTCATAATTATTTCTAAAGCACTATTGATAATTACACTTGCATAATTACACATAAAATGGACCTAGCCGACGTAGTTGATAAAGGGAAAAGGGTCAACGCGATATTAATAGATTTTTCCAAAGCTTTTGATGTTGTTCCACACGATTGTCTTATAAAGAAATGAATAGATTCGGGTATTGTCACAAGAGTGATAGCGTGGATAAACGAACTACCCCGGAACAGGAAACAGAAAGTTTGAATCAGTAGTTACTTATCAACCTCGAGAAACTTCACGTCAGGAATTCCACAAGGAAGTGTAATCGAACCACTCATGTTTCTGGCCTTCGTGAATGAATTG